CGATGTCAGTGGCGTTCTTGTTGTCAGTTTCTATCCAGATTGCCTGAGTGAATGTCTGGAGGTGTAGGCACCTCGGAATGATTGTGTTAAGCTAGCACTAAGTCCCTCCCCCGTCCACCTTTATTCTTTTCTTTACAATAAGGCTTTCAAATAAGTCATGGTTGTACGGCAGTGAAGCATCGGTGTTGAACACTGATATCATGCTGTCGTTGATGATGATGATGATGATGATGTCCATGGCTGCGTTTAGAGACAAGCGAGCCAGTTTTGTCAGTGATTGCTTGCGGTTGCTCCAAAGAAAGTCTGGTCGGCACATTACTGGAGCAGGCTTTTGCCGTTGTCCGTTGGTACATGAGCCATCTGTTGCTAGGCTTCTTTCAGAATGCAAACGCTAAAAACTGCCAGAGAAAATGAGAGTCGAAGTTTCCGGCCGGGGGCGGCTGTGTTAACCAGCCATATTACATCTAACAGAAATGGGCGGCGAACGGATTTGTCAGTCCTTCACCATGATCATCGACAGCAGGACATAAACGTTCAACACTGATGCTTGGCTGCCGTACAGCCATGATTTATTTGTGAACAAAAGAATAAAAGGCGATGGGGTAGGGACTTAGCGCCAGCTTGCTGCATTCATTCTGAGGTCCCTACACCTCCAGATATTCACTCAAGCAATCTAGATAAAAACTGACATAAGGACGCCGTTGACATCGAGTAACAGTCATATCTTGCAGCGTTTCCAACCACATGCAATGGTGACCACGTGGTCTCCATCCTGGAAGGCGAGCCGCACCGACAGTACCCAAACGTTTTGTAATCTACTTCATACCCCTCTGGCAGCCCAAGAGTTGGTCACCTCTCTGCTTCCGCCACTCTGAACTGGACACGAAAATTACTACACTCTTCAACAAACGATAGTTCAGCACACGCAATAATGGCCTAATCAACGCAGTTTCTGGTGCTGGACATATTTTTCAATGGATGTTCCCGTTGCTTAACCGAAAACTCGCTTTCTAACTGCCTCCTTACGGCTTTGTCGACACCAGCTCACACAAGCTACAATTCTGAGACAACGATTTTTGAACACCTGAAGACGTCTCAGCTCCCCTATTCGAACAGGCCGAGCCTCACAGTCATATAGCCCGTACTGTAAACTGATAAACATGTCCCTCGAGATTCAGGGATATACCGCTTTGACGCCATAGGCGTCTCAAACTGGCAAAGACGACCCAAGCCTTGCAGATTCATGCACTGACATCATCTGTCACACCATAATCAGAACTAAAGCAACCTCAAAGTTACGTGAGACCCTCCACAACTTCGAGTGCCTCTCCCTGGATTGTAGGTGGCGTGTTTAATGACTGCATATCCATGTTCATGACTTTATACTTTATGGATGCAAAGTGCATACCAAAGGACGAGATGACTTTGATCGGTTCACTCAAAAACACTCGCGGCTCCTCCTCTTCGAAGACGATAAAAAATGTCGCCACACATTCCAGGTCGATAAGGTTTACGTCAGGGCCTATCTGAACAGCGGGGTTTTGAAGACCTTCTGGCATTCGTCTCATCATCTCGTCGATCACCAAATTAAGTAGGAGTGCAGAGAGTGGGCACCCATGACGGACACCGTTTTGTGTACGGAAGCTTTTGGGAAGCTTTTCGTATACTCTCTGGAAGTCTGAGAATGCAGCGAACTTATTGCGTTGTCAGTCTTTTGGAATGGACCTACAGAGAAGTCACTGGTAATTGGGTAAGGAAGGAGAAAACGAATGTGATACAGGAAGAGGAAAGGCATCAGATGTCCGTTTTCACTCCC